AACCCTCCTAATCGGATACCCATGGTCCTTCCTCGACTTGACGAGCTTACTCACAAATATCGACGCGAGATCGGGGTCGTGCTCGATCGTGAGCATGGAGAGTTTGGGGCAGAGGATGCGGCAGCGGGAGTGGTCGCCTTGGAGGTTGGGGGTGGGTGGAGGTATGGGCGGTGTCGGTGTGGATGTAGATGGGGAGGTAGAGGGTTGGTTTGTGTTTATGTTTGTGTTTGCCTCGCGCGAGTCGCCTCCCTCATCCACTGGTTTCCCTTCCCCACCCTTCATTCCACCATCCCCATCCCCCTCCTCCTCCGGCGGAGGAACCCCCGGTAAAAGCGCCGTCAACACACACCTCGTCGTCGTCGTCGACTGATACGCCAAAATCCTCAACTCCTCCAACGCCGTCAACTTCCCAAACACCTCCACCCACACCAACGTCTTGAACCGATTCGCCTGGTACGAACTATCCCTCAGCACAAACGTCGTGATATTATGCAGCGGATACCGCGGGAGGGTCGACAGAAGCTGAGAAGCACGAAACACGCCGTAGGTGTGCAGCGCATTTGTTTTCGTGCCGTCGTCGTCGTCATCATCATCATCCATACCAGATTGAGCATCGGCATTAGATGTAGAGTCCGCACAAACTACAGCCGTAAACGGAACATACAACAAATCCGCAGGCTGTGCCACCGAAAAATGTGTCAAGTACCACCTCGTTATATGCCTGATGTTATCCAAATGCGTCGTATCCTGTGGTACGAGCGCCGACAAGTCCGTATCGGGATTGCTAAACACCGATCCCCAGATGTATATCTCCGCTTGGCGCGGGAGAGAGAGGTAAGAGAGGAATCTGGAGATGGTCGCTGGGGTGGGCCACCCGCCTAGACTGATTTGTTTCATGTGCGGAAAACGCTCGACGCGTCCTTGGGTGGGGAGGACGTCGGTGTTGGCGGAGAGGGTGGGACCTGCGCGGACGAGGGCGAGGACTTGGAGCATGGGTGAGTTGGAGATAAAGTCTAGGAAGGCGAGGGTGGTGGGGCGGTTGAAGGCTTGGTCAGAGATGGATAGGTCGGTGAGGTTGTGAAAGTAGGATGAAGGCCAGGAGGTAAAGTGTTCGAGGGTGACTTGAGTGAGACGGGGCATCTCTCCTGCGAAGATGGCGGGCAACACACCGCCTACAGAGTCCTTGCCGTCGGTTCTGATGGTCAAACTGACGAGATTGGGAGCGGGGTCGACGAGGTGGGTGTAGATGGGTACCGACGGGTCTTCCCATAGATCTGCGGTAATATGGAATTGTTGAAAGCGGGGGAGATGTTTCAAGAGGGTTTGGAGGGTTTTCTTTCGGATTTTGAGCTCCCTGATGCCGAGATAGACGGTGAGGGGGGCGGCTCCTGAGCGATGGAGGTACTGCTCGTATGCGACGTTGTGTTTGTCATCTTCTAATAGGGTATTATCGACGATCGACCAGAGGGATGGAGAACGCGCGATGATACCGCGCCAGAGTCTGCATACGTGAAGGAGAGAGTACCACTCCCTGCCGTGGTCCTCGTAGAGAGGCAGATCTGGTAAAAAGCTGGATAGATGAATTTGGGCGCGCGCTAGGATGTTGAATAAGAGTTCTGGGGGTAGCTGGTTAATTTTCTGGGCTGCGTTGCGACAGCCTCTGACGGCGGAAGCAGCAATTTGAAGTTTACGATCTAGTTTGTCGAGCTCTGGGGGTGTAAGGTGGATAGTCAAAAGACAAGAAGAAAGTTTACCTCTGGTTCTGACAGGTCGGCCAACCTGGGAAGGGATGTGTATGGATGAGGGAACTGCGGATGCAATATACGTACTGGTCTCTAGAATATTTGCACTTGAATAACAAGGCATTTATGAGCTGCTTAAAGTCGAGGTCTACGCCGGGAGGGACAGGGAGGGGAGGCATGAAAGTTTGAGAGAAAGGGCTACAATGGACATTGGACGTGATAGATTGCGAGGTACATGAAGCATGTGATCACGGTGAGCAGAAGTCTCAACTCTGCTGTTCTCTACTCTCCCAATCTTCTACGATCTTTGAAATGCTACTAGTAAAGTCTACAAGCTCTGACTCGAGACCGCCGTAAAACCTTTGCCAGCTCTCTAAATCGTCTGGGGAATAACCATCGTATACGCTTTTGAGATTTTGAAAAGACTGGAAGACGTCTGGATGGGAAGAACGGAGGGAGGAGTGGGGTGGAATGGCGGACATGGTGCGGACGATTTGTTTTGTGATTTCGAGGACGCCTGCGCGACCTTGTGCGATGGGAGAGTCGTCGGGTACTGCAGCAGATTTGAAGATCTGTTCAACGTCAGAATGGGTTGGCCCCTTGATTCATTGGACGTACAGAAGCAAAAGACTGGGCGTCTTGAGGTGGTCTAGCGGCTAAATACATAATAATCTGGTTCGCAAATAGATGTGCTCTCCAGAAGGACTCCTGTTCGTACTGTGGTTGAACTGGTGGGAGTGATTTGGATGAGCTGGCCATCAACTTCAATGCCTGAAGTAGTTTATCTGGTGGAAATGTAGGGGTAGAATAGGATCTGAGTACATTTCTGTTTAAAATTCTAGATTTTTGAAGGAAAAGACGTTGAACAAACATTTCATTTTGGTTTATTCCCACATCCATACTCGCTTCTCTCCTCCGTTCAATATACGCTTCCAGTTCCTGCCACAGCGAGAATACCATCCTTCAGCCCTTCAGCCCTCAGGTACCCAGGAACCAACAATCTCTAACTAGAATTCCAACCACCACATTCAATGACTTCACCCCCTCCTTCATCCTACTCCCCTACATCCCCAAAAATATCCAAGAGGTCCAGCTACGAAGTCTTGCAAGGAATAGCAGGTCCCGATTCAAATTTACCCCTCCCAACTCCTTCCAGGCATAGCCATGTCATGAACGGCAGCATGGACGACTCCGTCATGGGTACCAGTATCGGTATCGGAACATCCTATAAAAGAGTCTCCAGTCCCACACGCACTCTCAGTCGTATGTATCCCCATTCCTTCCCCCATATCACTATTCACCCCCTCATAGGAATACCCGTCGCCTCTGTAGGTGTGTGTACTCCCCCCTCCCGGAACCTTTCCGTCCTGCCGTCCTAATTTCTATTCTTTTTTTCTTTTGATTTTTTGACCCCGAAGGTAACGCTCGAGCTCTAGCAGATGAAGGAGCAGGTGTCGTAGGCCTCCGCTCACCAAACGGCACAGCCTCAACTTCCACCGAATACAACAACCATAACGCAGCCATCCCCTCCTCCCCTTCCCTCCAACCCCCACCCTCACCCAATTCCAACGCCAGCAGACGCGTCTCCCTCACTCCAGGAGGCACAACCAAAGTCCTCGCAGACCTCCAAACCGGTGTCATCAACGCCCGAAACGCACTCGAAAACACAAAAGCCCAACTCCGCCTGTCTCAGCGAAGCGTAGCTTCTCTAACAAGGCAGACCGAGGATCTAAAGGAAGGAAGGGAGAGGCTACGGTTAGAAAACGAGGGGCTGAACAATGTCGTTGCGAGGAAAGAGAGATTGTTACAAGAGGTGAGTCAACATCCATCCATCCATCCCATATTTATGGCTTATCTCATATACCTTCCTCCATAGGTCCTAGAACGTGCAAGAAAAGCAGAAGCAGAAGCCACGCAGCTGCGCACCCAACTTAAATCCGAAACCTCCCAATCCAAAAAGTCCCTTCGAGAAATGGAAACCGCGTTGACCGAATCCACAGCCCTTTCGCAAAAATCCGAAAGGGAATACGTCACCCTCCGTGAGAGCCTCAAACACCTTACCGAATCGTGGAAGCAGGATACGGATCGGTTAAAGGAGGAGATCAAGAGGAAGGAGGAGAGGTGGAAGGCTGAGGCTGAGGCGATGGGGAAGAGGTATAAAAAGTTGGTGGAGGAGGTTCAGTCGAGTAGGAGGGTCGAGGAGGATGTGAGGAGGTTGAGGGAGGAGGATGGTAGGAAGGCCAAGGAGGTCGAGGGGATGTGGATTGAGGAGATTGAGAAGATGAAGAAGGCTGTCGAGAAGAGTGATAAGGAGAGTGAGGAGACCAAGGAGACTGCTAGGTGAGTCCCGTGCCCTTTTTCACAACGCGGGATTGACGAGTTTGAATCCACAGACAGTTGGTGGCGGAACTGTCGAGGTTACGAAGGCTTATGCAGAGTGCGGGGAGGGTTATGGATGAAGAGCCGGATTCGGACACTAGTTGATTCATTCGCATTCGTTCTTGTGTATCTTTGCTTTCACCCGCTGTATCTTTCACTCATTCAATTTATGTTTTCCCCGCCACACCCACTCACTCACTCTGCATTTGCTTTCCTTGTTCGCTCATCGTCATTCCATACAGTACTAGTACCACACGCATCTAACAGCATTCCCTTTCAACCCGCACCCACACCTGCACCAACTTTCTCATTCCATTCCATCTCATTCCATATACCGTTACGATACATTCTACATACCACATACCACACGCACGCGCACTCAGAGTCAAAAGTATGGAGCTTTCTTTCTTTCCTACATACGTAGCTTTCTGGTTATAACTCTATCCTATCCTATTCTATTCTATTTTATTCTATTTGATGATTTTATGTATGTGATGGTTTTCGCTATGTTGAGTCTTGACTAGACTGCGTGGATCGTTGGAAATCTGGCTCGATGTCAAAAAAAGGTTTCTTTTTGTTTTTTTTTTTTGTTTATTTTCCAAGTAGAGTGCATTATGATAGATTAGATGTGGCTGGAATCAGACTCGGAGTACGCTTTGCATTTCATGATCGAGGGAACAGATGAGGCGAAGATACTTGGCAGTAAGAAACTTGTCAAACGTTCAAATCTTTCGTGAGTCGGCCCAGCCCTTGGAAGAAAAAGAAACTGACAATCAGTACTGTACTCACTCTGCTCTGCCCGTTCCTCTTGCGGGATATATGTAAGTACTCAGATACTGCAGAAAGAAGAAAAAAAAAAAGAACTCCAATTTACTCAATAGCCCACCGCGAGGGTCGAACTCGCAGCCTTCAGATTCGGTTTTTCTACCCGCCGTAAGAGTCTGACGCTCTATCCGATTGAGCTAGGCGGGCTCCGGCTTGGTACTTTCGTTGGATATGATATCGGAGTCGGAGGCACGACGGAGGCGTAACGGAGGAGGATAGAGGTCTCACTTCGCGATCATGTGACTGTGACTCTAGAGTGTTCAACTTTGTCTTTGTCATACCCGTATTTCTTGCTTTACGAACTCGTTAAGGACTATGATATACAGACTCTTAACAATCTACACCGACAACCGCGATACGCGCACTTATTCTACTTTGAATCTAGGCTCGGTGACTCAGACTGTACCGTATGCGTGGGGAATTGGATATTCACCTTCTTTTTGCATTTCACTTGGGCATAAAACTCAGTCTGCATGCAGATTCTTCAAGCCTCGATGCTCGTATATGTCTGCACAGTCTACGCTAGGCTCCCTTCAACCAGCACCCTGTCTCCAAATTTTGGTACATACAAAGCAGAACTTTCTAGTCAAAGTAAACATTGTACGACATTGAATCATCTATAAATTCCAAATTGTCAAAATCCTAGACTCGTAAAGTCCTAAGATTCGTCATACTATGAAGCCTCGCTCACAGTCGCAATAACTGTCAAGTTTTCAGATTGGGATCCTGAACAATAGCTAGTTGGATCGCTGCTATATGGCCCCGAACTAAACAATCCTTTATCTGCGACCTTGTGAAGGTTAAACATGAGCCGTGACATCATTGTGACGGACATGCTACAGATAGTGGATGTTTTAACTGGAGGCATTCAAATATATCAATAGAAGGAAGGTAATACCTGCTGGCAAATGAGGATAGCATGCCCCGTGCGTATGGCTAGGTCACGAATAAGTTGCAACCATAACTGAGGCTATGTCAGACGTACTAAAGGATACTAGAGCAGTCGTGGATTAGAGTTTGGAAGCAATGATTCATATGTTGACACTCACGTAGAATGTTGAGATATTGACCTGTAAATGAATATTCTAAGGATATATCATCCGAGGGAATTAGTCCCACACTCACCGCATTCGCAAAAGCCATCACACTTTGAATGGGAAGAGAATGAATAGACTTTTTTTCAGCGGATTCATTCATCAAGGAACTCACCCAAAGTACAACGATCCTACATACAATAAGGTTGACTTAAAACGATCAAAGAATGGAGGTGCATCAATCCTTACCATCGCGAAGGATTATGTCCATTAAAGGTATCCTGAGTGGTCGGAGTTCGCGGTGGGTTTTGTACGCTTTATGCAGGGTCATCACAAACAGCATAGAATCGTACAAAAACAAAGCCTCCCAAGCAGCTGCCTCTTCTGCCGATCGAGTTAAGATGAGATTTTAAATACTTGCTGGCAAGACGTACGGATAGATCTGTATTGCAATGAGAAAGTTTCTGCAAAGAGAAAAAGGAAAAAGAAGTGCGCACGGAATGAATGACAGTTCGGTCTCACACCCCAAGCCAAGACCCCCATTCCCCACGAGGAACCCTTCAGACCGATCAAAAAAGATTGCAAACTGTAGAGTAACAGGCCCAGATGAAAGTAAGTTCAGAGAGAAAAAGGGAAAACTGACAAGCGATAAGGTCGACAGAATACCACCGGTGGAAAGTATAAGAGCCAGTATACGTTTACTGCAATTGTACAGGGCATATATGCGAATGGCGAGGAGCACTGGAGCGCAAACAGGCTTACTTGAGCTGTTGGAACAGTAATGAGAGGAACCTTACTGCAAATTATGACTTGCGTCGCAACGAGCAGGAGTTCGTGGAAGGTATGGAATGACCCGCAGCTAACACCATCATCGCTGGTTTTCAACAGACAGATTTAATCATTACCTACCTCTGTCAATGTCATTTATGTGATAGAAAATCAGACAAAGCTTGACAAGCTAAAAATGGAAGCAGACTAACCGATTCAGTGAAATCGCCGGAGAACAGCGATATAGCCAAGGCAATGTTCCCGAGCGCCGCAAAATAACGATTGAGAAAGAAAAGGATTGTACTTGCGCCCACTGGGCGTCTCCAAAAATACAGCAGCTCATCGGCTACCAGGGCGTTGATCAGAAAACTTTGGTTGACCAAGAGACATATAAATTCTTACAAAGTGTAAGGATATGGTCCCAGTACAAGAACGCTAAGGATCGGCGTAAGATTGAACTAGATAGCGAAGCTAAAAAACATACTTATTGACACTAGAAACAGATAATTCTGCGGCTGCCTTTACGATTCATTAGAGCTTGAATTTCATTGATTCTGAAGGACGCACGCTTGCTCTGCTTCTGAAATTTGTTCAGCATATGCCGAGCTCATGGCCTGCTCTTGTCACGGTCAAAAGTTAATGAGGCAAAGATCTTTTCTGACGCTGTTCTTATAAATTCCGGTTACCTCTTGCCGCGTAGAATATGTCATGCAGGATCCCTACGTTGATTGTTCATTTTTGGATAGGATCAGTACTTCGAGATGGCCTCCGCGCTGGTGACCGGGCTATGTACTACGTTCGTAGATCTTGAGCTGCTGTCAGCGAATGTCAAAATGGCGATTCTCTACCGCTCATTTCATTGTGATGAATCTCATTTCCTCAAATAGGCAAGCGCTGAGAACAATTCCCGCTACTTTTCTCGCTACCTTTAGGTAACTTAGTGCATTACTTTTAGACCTGTTCCTTTCCGAATTTGAAGTCTGGTCAAAGCGTCCGATCATTCTTGCCTCTTTGATTGATTATTCCCGCCAGTGGGTGTTTTGACACAGATTACATCTTACCTAGATCTTACCTCGCGACATCGCTGGCTTCCCTATCTTTTCAGCGCTCGGTTCCATTCGTGTTCAGGTTTTTTTTTTACTCTTTCTGAGCGCGCCGCTCGAGTAGCATATGACTTTCCCCTTGATCAGTCCATTATTTCCCTCGATGTTATTTCCAAGGTCTCTATCTGTTATCTCCGTCTCGATACCTAGAGCGTCTCATTTAACATTCTTCAGAGTTTTCTTCACCTTTCGTCAGGGTGAAGTTCAATGTTATCGTTAGAAAGGAATCTTTTGATGCATGTTTTGCTTGACTGCAATCCATCTTCTGTATGAGATCACCGTTGGTTTGGTTTGGAAAGATTTTATTAAAGGCTAACAGACACTCAATGCACGTGTAGCCTCCAACAACGCTTTTTGCTGGCGAGATGCACCCATCATTGTGACTGATAACCGCCTCAAGTTAAACAAGGCGCGATCACATGATCGTGAAGGTACGTTGAGCGCTCAACTTTGCCTTACCAGCTCGCTAGAGACTATGATATTCAGAATAATTGTGAACTGATCGTCAGGACTCACAAGTCCGTCATACCTGAGACTCGGAATTGTTCGTGAATATTTCGATCTTTGCGCGACCCTACTTATGTACGTACGGTCCAGTGGTGCAACTAACTCGTAAAGCTGCAGCCCAGTCTTCAGCTTCTAGTCAGAATAACACAAAACAGAAGATTCAAACCAAAGCGTGGACTGTCCTACATTAAGTATATTCTTTCTATTTCTACTGTTGTATTATATACACCCGAAGTCCTACTAAGATTCGTAACGTGAAGTCTCATTTATCTAGTCGTCAAGTTTTCTAATTGAAATTCTTGTAAACCACTATGGGTTCCTAATTGGATTGTCGTTGCGTATGAAGTGTACGATCCCGAGTCTGCGAGCTTGTGAAGATTGAACATGAGGCGCGATATCATTACAACAGCCATGCTGAAAAGAGGGGATATTTGCAGCGTTCCAGAAAGCCGAGAAAGTAAAGAAGCACAATACCTGCTGGCAAAGGAAGATAGTATGCCCCGTGCGTATGCCTAGGTTAAGAGTAGAACATTAACTTATAGCCTTTTCTGAGGGCTACATCGCCTGGACGTACTAGAGGATACTAAAGCAGTTGTGGATCAGAATTTGAAAGTAAGTAACATTTCGCGTTGATACTGACGTAGAATGTAGAGATGTTGATCTGTAAATGGATGTGAGAACATATTTACTCGATGGAATCAATCCAACACTAGCCGCATTCGAAAAAGCCATCACGCTATGAATGAGAAGTAAATGAAGAAATTCCCTTCAGAGCGTCCACCAGTTATGGACTCACCCAAAGTAAAGTGATCCTGCAAGAAGGTCAAATCAACACGATCCCAAACGGAGGAGCATCTATCCTTACCATCGCGGATAACAATATCAATCAGAGGTATCCTGAGCGGCCGTAGCTCTCGATGTGTTTTGTAGGCCTTGTACAGTGTCATCACAAACAGCATAGAATCATAAAAGAACATAGCCTCCCAGGCAGCAGCTTGCTCTGTGAAGCGGGCTGAGATGAGAGTTCAGACACTTGCTGGAAAGACGCACGAACAGACCTGTACTTGAATGAGAAACTGCTGCAGACAGGAATGGAGATGATATTTGCGCACGGAATGAATGGCAAAGCTTGGTGACATCCAACTGCATCGACCCCGCCTATGAGGATGCCTTCCGACTGATCGAAAAGTATTGCAAACTATGGTATAATGGGTTCACATGGAAGCAATCGGATGGATGTAAAAAAAATCTGACAAGCGATAATGCGACCAATATGGAAGCAGTAGAAAGCATGACAGTGAGTATGCGTCTGCTGCGAGAATACAAGGCATATATGCGAATGGTAAGAAGCACTAGGAGGCAAGCGAGATCACTTTAGTTCTTGGGAATAACGAAAGAAATCTTACTGGCCACTGTAATCTGCGTTACAACGAGTAGGAGTTCATGGAAGGTGGAGAACGACCGACAGCTGACACAATCATCAGTGTTGAAAGCAGATATACTACTAATTTGATTGTGCCGCACCTCTGTCATTTGAAGAATCAGACAAAACTTGACAAGTTCAATTGAAGGGAAACACCAACCGATTCAGTGAGATGGCCAGAGAGCAACGATATGGTCACGACAATGTTTCCCAGCACCGAAACGTAGCGATTGAGGAAGAAAAGCGTCGTGCTTGTTCCCACTGGGCGTTTCCAGAAATACTGAACTTCATCGGCTACCAGGACGTAGTGAA